TCCCCTGGAACTAGAGTTAAGGATGATTCGTAGCCACCATGTGGGTGCTGGGAATCGAACCCAGGTCCTCTGCAAGAGCAATCAGTGTTCTTAACTGCTGAGCCATCTCTCCAGCCCCGAAAGTTATCTCATTAATCCTATCTTTTTTCGTATTGCCTTTGTTTTTTCTTTTCTCTCTGTCTGTGTGTGTGTATAGGGGTATGTCAGGGCATGGAGGGTTCCAGGGATGAACCCAGAGTCTCACTGAATATATGTTCTAACACTGAGCTACACAAAACAGTATCAAGTGTAAAGCACTGTATGTTATACTGAGAGCAGTTGCATGAAAGTATATTCCTGTGGTCATTAGCATGTTGGCCATTGTCCTAGTTGCTTTTCCTGTTGCTGTGATAAAATATCTTGGGAGAAAGGGCTTACTTTGGCTCACAGCTCAAGGGTACAGTCCATCTGGTGGAGAAGGTTTGGTAGGGGGAGCAGGAGGCATTGTATCTACAGTCAAGAATCAGCAACAAATGCGCTTCTCCTCACTTTTCTTTCTCCTCCTTGTGCAGTCTAGGCCCTAAGCCCAGAAAATGAGGCCGCCTACTTTTAGGTCTTCCTACTTCAGTTAATCTAATCAGGATCATCCTTCACAGGTGTGCTCAGAGGCTAGCCTAATCAGCCAGTCCCTTCCGGGTGTGCTCAGAGGCTTGCCTCCTAGGTGATTCTAGATCCTGTAAGGTTGACAATCACTGTTACCCATCACAGCCCTGCTCTCTGGGATGCTCATCCATGTCTCTCTCCACTGCTTTCCCTCCTAGCCACCCTCTCCCTGCCCCTTCTCTGCCTTCTTCCTTTGTCATATCCACGTGAAAATAAACATGCCTCATAGCTTAGTTCTGGATTCTTTTGTGTATGTTTCTCATGTGCTCTTCCTAGAGCTTAGCCAATGAGTGGTTTTGATCTGTGATCCAGAGCCCAGCCTCACCCACCTATACCTATATTGAACTTCCATATGAGATTTCATTTCAAAAAGAAAGTAATTTCTGCTCCCTAAACTCACACATACAGAGAGGGAAGAAGGGAGGGGAGGGGGGGAGGGAGGGAGGGAAGGAAGGAAGGGAGGGAGGGAGGGAGGGGGGGAGGGAGGAAAGAAGGAAGGAGGAAGGAGGGAGGGAGGAAGGAAGGAAGGAAGGAAGGAAGGAAGGAAGGAAGGAAGGAAGGAGGAACAAAAGCACTGACTTCAGTTTCTCTTGTGGATGAATGGCACCCAAACCACTACCGCCAGTCTCAGAACCAGACTGGGGCTTTCTTTTGCATATTGGACTGCAGATTCCGTGATTCTGACAAAATTTACTATCTTTCTCCTGTCAAACTGATTCTCTGCAACAGAAATCCCTACTTCTGTTCATTGCCTTGCTGTTCTTTTAAACTAGAAGTTAAAAAACAAGAAGAGAAATAGTTTTGACTTCTTACTTCATTGCTCAAAGTTATCAGTCCTTAAGACCTATTGATTTTTGCTTAGGGCGTGATTCACCCATTCATCCCTTTCTTTCTGTTACCGTACCTTCTGGAGGATTAAAGTGCCCTCTGAACCTCTAAAGAGATTTCTGTTTGTGGACTCTTGGCCTAGAAATATAATTCAAAATCCTAAGCCAGATTTCAGCTTTCTAGAATGATGGTCACTATTATTGTCTTCTATAAAGAACTGAAGCATTTCATCCTTCCCTGTGTTAACTATGTTGAATGAGTATCACACTGAATCCTAAACTGAATAACTCAGCATTTGATTTAGTATTTTGTAGCTTTCTATGTGCTAGGTATTGTGCTGAACACCTCCTATGTATCATCTGTTTAATTTTCTAAAGTTTTCTGTAAGCTTGGAATTATGGTTGTCTCTATTTTAAAGAAGGGAAACAGAGATTAATCTGTTTGCCCAAAGTCAGACAGCAGGTAAGTGTAGAGCCTGATTGAGCACTAAGAATCTTCAGACACCATTGGCCACAGGCTGAAGAAGCCTGTGCTCTGCAACCCCTCACCTTTTTTTCTGCAGTGTTGGGGATCAAACCAGGGTATCATCTAAAACCCTGGGGCTACCAGGCAAGGGGCCACAGAAGGTAGCAAAGGAAGGTACTGGCACTGATGACTGCTGCTCAAAAGAAAGGCTGTCCTCCATACTGGTCCAAAGTCTATGTGTCATCAACTGGCAGGGCTGCTGCCTCCTTCCTCATGGCTACCTTTGGGCTTCGACAGCCGTGTTTTAATTTCCTTCTCAGAATTGTCTGTGAAGTTCAATCACAAATTGATTTCACTTAATCCAAAGATATTTTATCCTGGTTCCTATTCCTGACTTCTGTTGGCCCTTTTTCTTGTTACTAAAGCCTAGAGTCATTCACTATCAGACATGTCCAACCTGTGCCTATGGGCCACATACAGCTAAGGCTAGCATGAATGCAGCCCAACACAATCCTAGACTTCCTTAAAGCACTATGAATTTTTTTGGTAATGTGATTTTGAGGGGTTTTTGTTTTTTAAGATTTATTTATTTTGTATTAGTGTATGAGTGTTTTGCATGAAGGTATGTAATTGTATGACATGTGTGCAGTGCCTGCAGAGGCCAAAAGAGGGCATAGGATCCCCTGGGACTGATGTTACAGTTATGAGCCACTACATGAGTGCTGAGGACTGAACTCTGGCCTTCTGCAAGAGCACCAAATGCTCTTAACCATTGAGCCACCTTTCCAAGCTCAACAGTACAGTTTTTTAGTGACCTTCATAGGTGATCATGTCATGTCTCAATGCTTAAAAAGTTGAACATACCTGGACCAACCCTAGTCTCATCGTGCTGTTCTTGTATTGTGTCTGACACACTTTGTTTGCTGAAATAATGATGGTGGTGACATAATAAAGATACTTCATAAACTCATCCATTCATTTTCATGCTGTTTTTCTGATGCTTAGCCTTGTCTCTAGTGCCTGGCATTATGCCTATTGACAAGTTGAATTCTTGAGTCAGGCAGCTTAGGGGCAGATTTTTAGTATGCCATTTAATTACCGAAAGCAAAACATCCAAGTTCTTTGATTTAGCTTCCTTATCTATAGACAGGTACAATAGGCATTGGTATGATAAAGCTTAAAGATTAAATGGTGTAACATAATAAATGATTTGGAAAAGTTCCTAGAAAAAGCAAATACTAAGTAAGTAGTCGTTGGCTGCTCTATTGACTGCCTATTGACTGCATATTAAGGAATAATTTATGTAAACCACTTTGCCCTGGTTTTTATACAGTTATCATTTACTCTATTATTACTGATAATTTATAGGCGAGAACATTGAAACTTAGGTCAGGAAACTTATATTAGATCACATTGTTTGTAAATGATATGGTTGCAGAATTTGAACTTGGCCCATGCTGGCTCCACCTCTCCACTTAATTCTAGTAGAGATATTTTCTAATCTTTTCTGCCTCTGCAGGTTGTGAAATTACCTTAAATTACTAGATAAAAAGTGTATCAAAGTGTAACTCAACCTTCTAAGTGCATTCACCCTTCTTGTGTCGAGTTTTGAGGGCAGAAACAGCAAGACCTAAACAGAAGGTTGGGTATGGGTATGTGTATGGTGCACACCTGTGATCCCAGCACTTGGAAGGCTGAAGGAAAAGGTTCAAGACCAGCCTGGGATACTTAATAAGACCTAGTTGAAAGAAGGGAAGGGGGGGAGAGGGAGGGAGGGAGGGAGAGAGGGGGGGAGAGGGAGAGAGGGAGGGAGAGGGAGAGAGGGACGGATGGAAGGAAGGAGGGAGGGAGGGAGGGAGGAAAGGCCCAATAGAACTGCATACATCTTTCCTGATCCCTGAGTGCATAAATCAAGACGTACTTTCATTGTTTCTTACAAGGTCCATGTGAAGGTCTGTTAATGCTATCCTCAACAAATACAAAATTCAAAATTAGTACTCTAACTCCATGTTTATGATGTATTAATTGTTCTTATAAAACATATAAAATTTTGAGCCTACTTTCTTAGGGATTGAAAAATTACATGATGTATATTTTCTTATGAATTTTATGGATTTTCTCTATCCTTTTAGTGTTGGAGCTGAGACTGGATTGTTTGGGTGGTGTTGAAGTGCTCTAGTCTGGGTCCCTTCCTCCTGTCACACATCCCAGAGTATTTATTCATTCACTCGGGTTGCAGATCCAGGTTAGAAGTTATGCCGAGCCTCCTTCATGGCTATTGTCTTTTCATGGCAAGAGACAGACATAAACAGTAAACAGAATCATTGGAAAGCTATGGCACGGGGCATGCAAGTTTCTCCCACAATGAAGAGGCTGGGAAACGGGCCTCTGTGTCAGGTGGGCAGTAAGAACATAATAGGATGTGCATTTTGCAAAAGACACATACTTCCCCCAAAGGGCGTCCACACATGCTGCCCTGCTTAGTTGCCCTGCTCAGTCCTAGCTGGACTGTCTCATGCTGGGACACAGCACATGGTTTTTTCTTTGTTGTCTAACCTCTGATGTTCGGAGAGACTGTCAACAATAATGGTTTTCCTGTGGCAAAAGCAGTGCAGCACCAAGCCGTTCTCACAGGCACTTTATTGCACTTGGTTTTTTTACCCCCTTTCTACTTGCCAGAATCAAAGCAGCAAGTTTTTCTAGATACCTGTAAAAGGTTAGTTACTCCTCATCAGGGATGATGCAAGCAGGAAAACTGCAGGAAAGCCAAAAGCAAGAAAACAGAAACAAGGCAAGAAATGCATTCGGATCGCAATTGCTATGTTCTGTTTCATGTCACCGAGCAAGATGAGAAAGTTTGGATTTTTATAGGAACGGCTTCCAAGTACTGTAGGGTGACGTCATCCTCCGTGCCCCGGCCAGGTGCATAAGGCCTCTGTGGAAACAGGTTGACTTCCAACATGAAACAAGCCAGAAGTATGAAGTGTCATTTTTGGGTGCAGTTGTGGTTCCATTGCCTGTAATTAGCACCTCTTAACCTTCAGACTTGTCTGTGCCTTTTTCAGGCTGTCGAAGCTCAAATCCGGAGTTTTGGACAGACGCCTTCCCAGCTACTCATAGAGCCCCATCCTCCCAGAGGTTCTGCCATGCAAGCGGTGAGTGTTCTATGTGCTCCTCTCTGGCCTCTTTCAGGTCATGCTTGATACACCAGTCTTTGCACTGTGCTTGAGAGCCTCCACCATACCTGGGCCTGCTGTTTTTACACAGTCAGCCTGCCTACAAGCAGCAAATGCTATCACATTCTCCCCTGGAGTCTTTGAAAAGTAAACTTAACTCCTCCGATGCTATCGCATTTCATCAGCTAGCCCTTTGTGTTGCAAGATTCACAACTGTCATGTCTTCCTTGTAGGATAAAGGACTCTACACCAAAGACTGAAAAATTTTTCTGGTTTGATACTGTGAGTTTCTAGATCCATTCCACTGTTTTTTAGTTTGAGAATTTTTGAGCTAAGCATGATGCATAGTATATCATTACTGAAAGTCAGAGGCATGGAAGTGCAGGAAGGAAGGACAGCCCAGCAACCTGGTAGCTCAGCACAATGGCCTTGTTTCTGATGAGCATTTCTTATACTTTTTCCACATTGGCTCATCAAGTTACTGCTGAGAGTGGCCTAAGCTGACCTTCCATCCCTGCTGTGGATAGGCTAGAACAGGCCACTCCTTGGTAGATCAGTGTCTGAAGACAGTGTTGGCAAGACTTACTGAGCCAATTTTGAATTCAGTATCCTGTTGGCCACATTGCATTGGTCAAAGCAAGTCAAAAGCCAGCCCAGAATCAAGACTTGAACAGCAAATATGGCTACTCAGACAGTACCTGAAATTTCAAGGTAAAGGGAGGGAGAAGGAAAAAAAAAATTGACAAAGCAACACACTAATTTGCCTTATGAAATTTTTTTAACTAGAGTATAAATATTAATTTTTCTTGAATTGTCCCTCATAAAAGTTTGCTCATTACTGTTTTAGATTAAGAATAGAGAATGTAAAATCTGTTCATGAATCTAATGAACAGCTTATAATAAATTTAAATCCCATGCTGTGAGGGCTGGAGAGATGGCTCTGCAGTTAAGAGCACTGGCTGCTCTTGCAAAGGACCCAGGTTAAGTTCCCAGCACCCACATGGCAGCTAATAACCATCCATACTCCAGTTCCAGAAGATCCATCAACCTCTTGTGGTCTCTGCAGATACATGGCACAGATGCACTTGTATACATGCAATTGAAACACTCATACACATAAAATAGAAATAAATAAAAAAATAATCATTTCAAGTCCTATGCTGTGCTTAGAGATGGCAACTTTTGTTGTTAATCACCTTTCTTCCTCCAAGAGTTTTCCTCCACTTCTCTAGTCATATGAATTGACCATAATAAACTATAAGCAGTTTGTGTATTTTTTTAGTATTTTTTATTTATTACTTTTATTTTATGTGTACGAGTGTACTGCCTGAATGTATGTGAGTGCACCCGTGTCATGCACTGCCATGGAGGTCAGAAGAGGGCTTTGGATTCCCCTGGAACTGGAGTTAAGGACAGTTTGCAGCGGCCATGTGGGTACCGGGAATCAAACCCGGGTCCTCTGCAAGAGCAGTCAGTGCTCTTAACCGCTGAACCATCTCTCCAGCCCACTTTGTGTATTTATTTTTATTTTATGTGTTTGAGTGTTTTGCCCACCTGTAAGTGTACCACATGCATGCAGTGCCTGCAGAGACAAGAAGAGGGTGTCAGAGCCCCCGGAACTGGAGTTACAGGTAGCTGGGAAATGCCTGATATGGGGGCTAGGAACCAAACTCGGGTCCTCTGGAAGAGCAGCAAGTGTTCTGAACTGCTGAGCCATCTCTCCAGCCCCAACTACCAACATTTTAAAATTTATTTGTATCACCTTTTTTCCATATGTGTTTTTAAACTAGTGAAATCAGACTTAAGTGAAGATGAAAGGTGACTAGTAGGCAGACGAATACACAAAGAATAAATGTGTAACAAGAACAATGGAAGATAATGCCATAAACATAGGAAAAATGATTTATGTTTGGGTATCTGAATTAGTTTTAGTAATAGCTTGTCGATGTGACTGAGACCTCTGGATGCTGGTGGACAGAAGCCCCTCCACTGCTCCATTGACTTGCTCCTGGGTCACTGCACAGCCATGGCAGCTGGGGCAGTGCACCAGTTCCTACTGCCCAACCTTCCTGCTGGCAAAAAATTATTGACTCCTTGAGGCAGATAAGTGGGGTGGGAAGGCTGGGAAGGTACATGTTGCAAAGACTGGGAGGCTCTCTTTATCTTTGTCCTCTGAATTAAATATCTGAACTCCTTTTCAGACGTGGACAAATGTTTTCATCTAATCCATAAACGAATGGCAAAGAAAGGTATATTAAAAAAGAAACCAGAGTTCTCAGCAAGCGTACAGTTAATCCGGGAACGCTGAATGAGATTTGGCTAGCAGCTTCCTGCTGTCATTCAGCCCGGCTGGCAGAAGCTTCCGGGATTACAAGAGAGCTTATTTCTCTTGCCCCCATTTTACCAGTTCTCAGCTCATCTACAGCTGCATCTATTGGCACAGGCCAGCCCAGTAGGGCGGAATATGTTCTTCCTCTTTCCTAGGATTCAATGGAGTTCCCCAGAATTCCCTGCAGTGGCCTGGGGAGCTGGAGCCAGCGTGGGTGTAAGGAACTAGTGGAGGACAGTTGGTTACGGCAGTGAACACTTCCGGATGTGGTCTCTGCTGCTGTACAAAGCGGCTTGTCCTAGCACTCTGGCTAAAAGTGGCTCTCTGGAGTCACTGGGTAAACAAGACATTCTTCCTGCACATTAGGGATTTTTTTTCTTTTCTTTTGAAATCATAAACATTGGAATTACTCAATTTAAGCATAATTATATTTACAATCTGAGCTGCTAAGCTCAGAAAAATGTAGAAACTTCCTTTTAGGGAGACTTTATTATTATGTTGTACTCTGATTTTCTCAGTTTATAAATAGACTTTAGTAAATATTATTTTAAAACTATAGTTGTAAAGTAAGGTTTGGAACTCTGAAATGGTGTTTATTTCCTTTTCCTAGGATCTCTTCAAGCTTGCTTAAAGGACGTTGTCATTGCTCCTTGTCTCTTTTTTTT